GTCAAATGGGAGATACAGCAATTGGAATAATTGGTACTGAAATTGACACTTTCGACTAGGATTGGCTAAAAATTTTACAACTGAGGTTTAACACGCCCAGACGCAGTTTTATCAAGAAAACAGACTAGAAAAAGGTTTAGATACCAATCATAGATGGCAGAAGCAGTACTGAGGTGAAAGGAAATATCTTAAAAAATTTTTTGAAAAAAACATTTCTTCTTAGAGGGCGCTTATTTACAGTCTAAAACGTATTTTAGGAATTTTTTCATTAACTTCCTCTTTAAACTTCATTAAAAAATACAATTTTGTACAAATAATTGAATGTTATGCTACTATTTAGAAAAATAAAATCAGAAATCCATTAAAAGATAAGTTCTCTATCATTTTTTCAATTCACAAATGCACACTTGCATTGCCTACTAAGAAATTTAGTACCGGTAGTCATCGGGTTAAGGAGTCACGAGACAGCACATTTCATAGAATCCTTAATTTCAAACCACCGACTGCAGGAAGGCAACTGGTCAGCAGCAACCTAATGTTTTTTAGTTATTTATTTTTACTTTATTTAATTATTCATTATTATTATGTATGATTGCTTATACCAAGTTCTCAATGTAAATAAATATAAAGAAGTGGAACTGAAGACTGCTTATCGCTACACAGCAACTGGAACAAAAGAGCAACAACCAAACAAATGCAAGTTAGCCTAAATATTTTTAATTGCAGTCTGTCATCGAGTGCAAAAACTATAAAAGCTTGCCAAAGTAATCTAGATTTTTCTTTTTTTTTAATTTAATATATATATTTTTTTTAAGACAGTGAAGATTTTGCTTTATACTAACTGGACCTAACACTGTTGTTTCACTTTGCCATCTTAATCATATGTGCACACGTGAGAGTCAAAGTACACATGTCATGACCTTTTACAGACACCCATTCAGTTATCAACAAATTCATTTATCCTACATTGCTGCTTTAGTGAGAGTTTATGGTAAAGGGGAGTAAATACCAGATGCACTACGTAGGAATAATGAAAAAGTACAGATATGGATTTCGGAGGTTCTAGAAGTTATGCAAATACAATATGCAAACTGCACTGTGGACAAAAGTCCATTTATCCTCCACATGAACAATCACCTTGTATACAACTTGTCAGATACCTGTCAGGTACCTGATGATGACAAAACTTTGTCGAAAAGTTGTACATTTGCTGTTATGTTAAACTTATATTAAAGTTTTTCTTCATTACCCATTCAAGCCGTCTCCAGCCATTATAGGTTTCTTTGGTTATTTATTGTTACATGCAAATTTACACAGTTAGTTATCTGGTCTATGCCCACCACAGGTATTGAAACCTGATTTTCAACATTACAAGTCCACAAACTTACTGCTGAGCCATTGCAGTTTTAATGCAAGAAAACTATTACTTTGTAAAAGAAATATAAAAGAAACATTTATATTCTCTACTACTTTTATGATTAGCTTGAATAAATATGATTGTAAAAAATAATCATAACTAGTTAATCTATTCTTTTTAGCATCTCCTGCTGATTGTGCTAAATGCGTGCAGAAACCATATTATTTTACAGAAAACAAAACTATAACTGATATATTCAACTATAGAAGACTTGATTTAAAGTAGTTAAAACCTTTAATTAGAATGATTTTCATTTCACAAAGTTGTTCAATATACAACATAGGAGCATTTATAAAAGTAACATAACACTTGGATGATAAAAATAAGATTTTAAAATGTTTGTAACTCTCAAATGTCATTAAAACCTACAAAATTGATACAACCTTAAAATTAAGTTATTTTGACCTAGTAGTTATGATTAAAATCTCATTTAACCCTTTCGAGATGGGTCACGGTGAAAGACCGCGTCATCTCGTTTGTTGACTCACATTCAAAATTTTATTGAACTATTATTTCATGAATTTATGTCAGTACATTTGGTATCAAACTGTAGATTATAATTCAAATTTTAGTACTATATATTACTCCATTTCTTAATTTAAAAGCAAATATTAAAAAACAAATAAACACTGATTTTTGCATGTAACGTGGTATGTTGAATGCAGCACTGGTTCAAATTAGATGTTTGTGAAGTCAAAATATGAAGTCTATTGTTTCGAATGAATTAGAAACTCAAACTACCAATACTGACAAGCTAAAATATAAAATAAGAGCCTCTTATCTTTACAATTTGTTGAGATATTGTTCATATAATAAATCAAACACAGTGGCACCCTACCCACCTCTTTGTATTTTTGGAAATGCTCCCTTATATACACTTCTATATATGACATGAATAATCAATCGGAAGTTCAGAATGTCCCTCCAGTGGCTTTCTCAGCTATTTTAATGGACTTAGCACCATTTCATTCTTTTGAACCAAGATTTCAATAGGTTAGGGTGCGTCTTTAGTTTGCTTGAAATTTCATATTTTTTTAGGCTAAAATACATCTTAGTTACTAAGCTTGATAAATTATAGTGGAATTCTATGGTATTAATGTAGCAATTTATGATTTTTTAGCTATTCAAATGTATATATGAAACCTAAAAAATATATTTTTTTCATATCCTCCACGTGCAAAATTTTTAAAGGCTTAGCAACCTACGTCAAGCAGCAACCAAGTACAAAGGTCATAACTAGAAGAGATAATTGTTTGCTTTACTCCTTTGTTTAATGTTCTATGTTTAGGGAAAATATGTTTAAGAACTTATTTCAAAATAGCAATATATACATATATAATGTATAATAATTGAAATTTGACTGTATTTTACAAAATACTCATTTACTAAAACACAGTCAAGACAAGTTACTTTGCACAGACCAAAGGTCAGTTTTATGTTATTTGATACAGTAACACGAGTGCATGTGTGCTGCTTCATTGTAACTTCTGTATTGTTAGCCAGGCATGGCTGAAACATTAATATAATAAATATATATAAATGTATAATGTTATGAGATTTAAGCTATTTAGGCTAAACATTTATGTTTTCATGTTATAATTTGTGTTCATTCTAGAATGAAAGAGACATAATTTATATTTATTAACCAATTTTTTATGGTGGTTGCGAGATTGTTCAAATCTACCTAACCCATACAGAGATTAATTACTAAAAATAACAGATAAAATATGAAGTTTTTGCATGTGAAATTTCAAAATTTTATGATGCATAAAAGTATCTTTATTCCTAAAATGAATATTACTTTGCATGATAGATACGCAAAATGCATAAAGAAAAAATAGACATGAGAAAAACATTGCTTTATAAACCTTAAAAATTAATATAAAAAAATTTTATATTTTGCTTATGAAAGCATTGTAATGTTTACTGATAATCTGCCAAATTTTGTTAACATTCACTTACTAATTTAAAAGCATGGAAACTATAACAAGCACAAAATGGTTATGAGGTTGGTCCCAGGGACCGAGCTCATGCTGTGACTTTCTTATTAAGATCATTGTAGGTTTTAAATAATAAATGTATAAAAACAGCATTTATCTGCCACAAGTCAATGCCCAGGTTTTTCATTAAATACCAGAACATGGAAGAAAACTTCTGGAGTCAATCATGTTTTTTATACTATAATTATTATAAACCTAAATGAACTTCCCTCTTTTCTGTACTATAGCTTTTACCACCAAAGTAATTTGTTTTGTACAAATTTATATTTATTGTGCAAAAACACTAACCTTAATAAGACTTAAAAGAGATTATGAATTAAACATACAGAATTTAAAGCAAAATGATTTATTACAATATTACTGTAATCATATTTATCAGATGTATTTGGAGATTCATTCATGATATTAGGAAAAAATGTAGGTTCAACAACTCAATTAAACACAAAAATCCTATAACCTGAGCACCTGTTAAAAGTGGACCTTTCCACATTAGGGGAAAACAAGGAATAGCTAAGTAAAGTGAAGTGTGGGAAAAAGTAAAATGACATTATGGTAGACCACCATGACAACTCAAAAGTGTTTTGATTAGCTTTCAGGCATGATTCATTTCCATCATGCAATATAACAGGATTCAAGAATATTAGACATAATTAAATTAGAAAGTTTATTTTTTAAGATAAATTAAAATAAAGTTATTATATACAGATCAATTAACAAAAAATATTAAGTAGATAGAACTAAAATGATAAAAAACAAAAAGGAAAACCATCATAAAAAATAACAAATAGTAAGAAATAAAATTTGAAAAATTATATTTTTCAGACAGAGAACTAACTAATGGTTGAAGATCACTGATTCTAAAATCTAGATTTATTCCACATTTCATTTCTCTATCACCTTTAGTTTTGAAACTGGTTTCATTACCTATGAGAATCAATCATTAATATAATAACTGAATTTGTTGAAATGTTGGGCAACAGGGAGGTCTTTTTTTGGTGTTAGAAAAAGATTTATGGTTGTTGAAACTATCTATAAGAATTGTTTGAGTCTGTCCTGTATATTAAGGATTGTTTTTTTTAATAAGGTAAATGGTGTTTTGTATTGGGCAACTAATTTCATTAATAATTTTAAAGTATTTGTGATCACATTTGTCAGAAAAAGAGTCAGTAATTTGTATGAACTTTCAGGTTAGACAACTAGCTTTATTACATGAATGAAAATCCTTCTGGGTTTGGGTGTAATTCACTTTTGCATGAACAATAATTTCTTTGACACTTCTGCTTCTCCTGAAGGAGTCAATGGGAACTTCAGGAAAAATGAGTCTAAGGCAATCATTCAGTTGTAGTAAATGTAAATGTTTTTCAAACTATCCAAAACAATTCTGAGTTTAAAGGTACACTTTACACTGTTGGATTGTTGTTTTTCTCTCAGTACACCAGTTTCACATAAGCATGAAATTCACCTTGATTGGCTGTCAGTTATGTGTTTTATTTTTACACACTTCATACTTTTATTGGATGTATGTATGTATGTGGAATATTTACAATAAGCTCTCAACAGTAATTAAAACATCAAGTCTACATGAGTATCTTACCCAAGTACGACAGAACGAAGGAATTTTGAAGCTCTCTCTACAACTTCTAACCAAACAGGTGATACTGTACTTTCATCAAAAAGTGTTGCTTCTGGTAAAGTCCTTAAGGCCTCAAGTGACTCGGATAGAAGCTCACTGCAAAGGTCAGCATCTTCTCCTGATCGCCATGCTCGTCTCAGAAAGGCAAAAGCAAAACTCAAAGCTGCCCTGCAGCCTATTCGTGCTAGACTAACAGTTGGTTGTTCTGAAGACTTGCTGCTGTAATGTTTAATGAATCCAGGAAATAATGTAAATATATAAAATACTCTCCATCAACTCAGCATAAGAAATTCATCTTAAAGAAAGCTTACCTTAAAATATTACAAAATCCTTAAGATATTTTTGGTTAATCAGCAAAATGTTAAGTAACATGACTATGCAGCAAAAGTATTTCCTTTTAAAATATGGCTTGTAAGTAATCTGTATGTATACTTTTCATTTAAGCAAATAACATGAAACCATTTTCCTATTTAAAATACAAATGCAGTAAAAACATTGCAAAAAATGTACACAACTATTACAATTTAATTATTCACCTACCACTATGTTAAAATAACTAATGAATAACTTTAACAATATGTTAAGTTATTTAGTCATTAAAGTTAAAATTTTCCTATACTGGAAATGTATTTCTGATAGGTACTTTGCTCCCCTCACAAGATTAGCTGTTCTCCTTCAGTGCTGCCCTCCATGTGTGAAATATTTTATTACGCATGCCACAGGAGTTCCGCACCCCTCCCCTATTGGAATCAAACGATTCCAACATGTCTTTCATGCAAATCATCATGCATCACTTCTCCACCACAAGAAGAATACTACACTCGCGTAACACATATGACTCTCTATGCGCCTCTACTGAACTATCACTTCTATGTTTGGCAGATAACGGAACCTGCACCGGAAGTGAGAAGTGAGTGGGGGGGGGGGGGGAGGTGGGAAGGGTGAGCGGAGGGAAGTGCCTATTGGAAATACATTTTCAGTATAGGAAAATTATAACATCCAAAACAGTATTTCCCTCTTCTCACAAAATTAGCTAGAATCCCACATTGATTAGGAGGAGGGACCAGTGTGAAAGAAAAACATACATACTCCCCGAAAGCATCAGAGATGAGAGAGTCATATCAAAAGATCTAAAGAGGAGAACTGCACCACTTCTAAGCCAGGTATACTCTTCCCCATCTATGAAATGAGTAAGATATCAGGGCAGAAATGAAGAGGAGCACATCCGAGTGAATGAGAGAATATAATAATAAGTGATCTCAACCACAGAAAATATCGTAACTCAATCACAAAATGAAATAAAGTGGGTTATCTAGGATGTGGCCCATGGTGTAATGTGGCTAGGGCATGGCGGACTGTACTCGGTAAGTCGACTACATCAAAAACCTCCTTACAGGGTACCGACATCCACGCAAGGGTAGAATGAGGATCATACAGTCTTCACCTCAAAAACACAAACCAGAAAACTGAGAACCACTCCAATCCCTGGGTATTACACAGGATTAGCTCAGAGCTATAAATCCAGGAATGTGACATCTGGTTTCAAAAGGAAGACTATCACATGCAATCAACTCCCTCGACATTGAAACAGGTCAGAATCATTCACAGGGCAATAACATCAACATAATAAGAAAGAATGAGGGATAGTCAAGGATAGAGCCAGTACAATCCTACATATTACCACTGTGATCCACAACACAGATGGAGAAATTGAGGGAGGAAGATAGACAACCCGAACCTGTGTGAGGATATGTATGTTGATTGGTTCACTCTAAATCCAAAACCAGCCCGTGGGATGCTGACATCCATGTGAGGGTAGGATGAAAGCTCCCAATCAAAGGGTGAATTGCATTGTGAAGTCTCACTTCGTTGTAAGGTTAATCACAAATCGAAGGATATATATTATCTACACTAGCAGAACACCACCCTACTGTGAACTGAATGGTTATAGCCATCTTATGTGGATCCCCATCCAGCAGGGTGCCTCCATGGCCAACCACCCCAGCAGCTTGGAACTGGTTAAGTGGTAAGAACTTCCATACTCCACTAGAAGAATATGGGGGCTGAGAATGAATTGGAGAGCCTGGAGGAACATTGACACATAAGGCATGGCAGGGATTGGCAGCTATCCCCTTCTTGCTTTACTCATGAAGTCCATGAATGGTACAGTCTTGGACAGGCCAATATATTAAGCAAATATCGGAGACACCAGCTACAGTAGGACGAGCAGCATAAAATACTCGAGACTGGGCCCATGTGCGAAAGACCTTCCACTTTCGCTGATACACTTCCACGGAGGAAAGACGGATGGATTGAGCCAAATGAAAAGCTACATGATAGCAGAAACCAGATCTCCTCGCCAAGAACCAGATAAAAGCAGGGCATGAAGACAGAGGATGTAAAGTGCGGGATGCAAAACCATTGACTGGGGTTGACGAAGGAGGTTGGATAATAATGGAAGTGGTACAGGAAGGAATAACTGTAGTTGGAGTAAACAAGGACACCATGGTTGAGCTGGCCAGTAGGGAGCGATCAGAAGGACCCAGCATGGAGTGACATGGATAAGGCAAAATACTCGATGAAGCAGTCAGATAGGAGGATAAAAATAGAGGAATCTGTGTGACTAATCCTGGCTAAAGTACCAGGGGCCAAAAGAGGGGTAACTGGTGATTTAAGGCAGTGGCAAATGCATCAATGTGAGGAAAATCTCATAGATTGCAAAGCCACTGGAAAACGAGAGGATGAAGGGACCACTCCATTGGATAAATCTTGTCGGGTTGAAAGCACCCAGAACATGACATGCAATTGAGTGAATGTGGTGGTCATGAGCACATGGCAAACTGACAACTCTATAGAATAGAGTTTGTGAGGAGAAGGTTGGCCCTACTGAGGTGAGTGTTTAAAAAGACACCCAAATGCACCAGGTATTGGGTGGGGCGCAGGAAGGACTTCTCCAATTTGATCAACCAGCCTACCCGAGCAGTTTCAAGAAAGAGCTGACAAGTATGACTGGCTGATTTCTGTTCAGAATGGGCAAGTAGTAGCCAGTCATCCAAATAAAATGGAAACGCAACCCCAGAGCATGAAGATGAGGAGCAAAAGCTCTCCCCACCCAATAGAAAACATAAGAAGCAGATGCCAGCCCGAAGGGTAGGGCACAAAAATTGGTACACCACCCCTTGCTGGATGAACAGAAGATCAGGACAAGATCATTCTAAGTTGGGAATATGCAGATAAGCATTGGAGACATCCATTAGAGACTCAGAGAAAATGCCCACTTAGAGTAAGGTAGGACTCCATGGTGAAACGTGGGAGGTGAATAAATTTATTGAGGTGGAACAGATCGATGACAGGCCTCAAGTCCCCAGTCTTTTTGAGAACAAAAAAACAGATGACAGTAAAACCCTGGTGAATGATGTAGAGCTGGTTCTATAGCCTGGTGTATGAGGAGGTCCCATACTGCCTCTGACAGACACTGGCAAGTTATGGGATCAGAAGGGAAGGAAACAGGTACCTGGGACAAGGGAGGTGAGACAATAAAAGGAATTTCAAATCCCTCTGATAAAACTTGAAGAACCCAAACATCAGAGATGAAAGGGTGCCACCAATGAATGAAGGTCACAAATCGAGCTGCCACTAGGCTCAAACCCACCAGGTAATCACTGGAACTGCTGGCAGCATAACGTGCATTGTTGAGAAAAATGATGAGCTGTGGCACTGATGGAAGGAGGGACAGGTAAGGATTAGGAAGGGGAAGAATAGGAAACCAGAATCGGCACCACACTAGGCAACAGCTGAGATAAACAGGCTACTAGATGGGAAAGGGTAGATTGTTGTTGTACAGATGCCACCTGAGACTGTATGGACTCTGGGACCGTATCAAAGATGAAATGTCTTAAAATCAGAGCCATACGCAAATCCCGAAGATAAGGAACATGTAAACAGGTTCACAATAAAACATAATCACAACCTAAAAGGTCCTAACAACAAATCAACCACGTTTGTAAAGCCAGAGCCATCGATGACAAACAAGCCAACATGGAGGTAAGGTGAGAGAGGATGTCCTTTGAAAATTCCTCAGGATTTCTGTGAAGAGAATTGGGCATGGGTGAGACTAATGGGAGATTTGGGCCTGCCCCCCAAACAGATAAATCCAAACCCAACAGTTGTTGGTTGAGATATCTACAGTCAGCCCTATGAGATGCGAGGGCAAACTGATCTAAAGCCCACATGGAACGAGGCATACTAATGCCACCGCCCAACTGAGAAGCTAATTGTTTGTCATGAACCCAAGTATCAGGGGATGGGGGAAAAACCAAATAGGGTTAGGAAGTATATTCATGCAGTAATGAAGGACGAGGGATAAAGATATGGGAGTAAGGGATAAAACATCACATACCTGATAAATAAAGTCCAAGAAAACCATGGAAGGCCAAACAGAATCCTCAGGAAGGGTATGAGAAGGCATGGAAAAATTAGGGCAATGTCTGGAGAGAGTGGTTGACCTATATAACATTCAATCTCCTTGCAAGTAAACATAGATAAATCTCCCGATAGGTTGCCAGCAGCTGAAGCCTGTGGTATAGCATCTGTTGAAAGTGAGACACCCAAAATGGTGACATTAACTTCAGAATTCATGTTGTAACAGACAACAAAAGCGTTTGAGTTAAGAAATAAATGTGACTTGAACAAGGGTCAGAGAACTGGAATGCTTTAAAAAAAATTAAGTATGTGAAATTAAACCACTTTGAGAACTAATTCATGCTCATACACTAACCAAGACGAAAAAAGAAAGACGTCTGAGTGCAAATGCTGCCAAACGAGAAGTGATAGGTGGTAGAGATGCACAGAGAGAGTCACATGTGTCATGTGAGTGTACTATTCTCCTAATGGTGGTGAAGTGACACCTGATGATTTTCATGAGACACACATTGGAATTATTTGATTCCAATAGGGGCATGCAGAAGGCTTGTGGCATGTGTAATAAAAAGTTTGCACATGGAGGGCAGCACTGAAAGAGAATAGCTAATTGTTTTAGTGAAAAGAAATATCGTACTGGAAACTGGAAGTCTCATGATTTAACTAGCCTTTGACCAAGATGCTCTATTCAATAGCCTGATAGCTATTTCTTTCTTTCTTTCTTTTTTCATGTCTGTAAATTTGGTGTATACGTTCTTGATTTGTTATTAAACCATAATTAATATTTTCAATTTGCAGTCAAACAAATTTATAGAAAATACTTTTTTATTGGTTTTGCAAATAGATTGCTTTTCTTTGGCTCATAGACTTTCTAAACTACATTAAATTAAAAAATTTTATTTCAATCACTAAAAATCTTACCTTTTAGATACTTTTCACTACTACCATAATTGTAGGATTCACACATTGTACCTACCTTCTTCCATCTTGAATACATAAAGTTCCTGGAAAGCTTCGTGATGTAAGCTTACTTTCTATCTGTGGTTTACGCCTGACTAGTGCAGTTATGTAGCGTTGAGTAACAATAAGTTGCTGACGCAGACACGTGAAAGAAAGTGTAGAGCTTGCTGCTTCAGCACTAAGGTTACACTGTTCTCTAATCAAGGAATGAAGGCATGCTTTTAGCTGGGATATATCTGAAAACAAAATCACAGAAAATTATGTATAAAAGATTATCTTGATCATAGGTTAAAACATTTTATTAAGACTGAAATAATAAAGACAAATTAATATTTTTATTGATTGGTTCTTCACAAAAGTGCACAAATGTTTTTAAGAAGCAGAACTATATTTCAATGTTTTAGGCATCATAAATGAGAGGGAATCATGATCATCAATATCAAAAATGTTACACAAAGCATAACCCCAGATATGCACAATTGTTCGCTGATGACTATGGAGCCTTTTTCTAGCAAATCTCTACTCCAAATAAATTACTAGTGAGAGTTGTTAGTTACTTGTAATTAAGCTCTCCATACTACCTACCCATATTCCACCTCTAGACACTAAAAATTTGTCAACACATGAAAAAAAGAGAATGATAAGGAAGATAACTAATGTTACCACAAAAGAAATATTGTAGACAATTCTCACCTCTTAGTTTTAGTCTCAAAGAAAAGGAGGTGGAATATTAAAGAATCTAATAAGAATAAAATAACACAAAACAGTAGAATCATCCACCCAGTAAGACATCTACAATACAGTATGCTCAATATGCACAAAATACTCCATTGTTTATGTACAAAATCAGTAATAACTTAGGATTTTGTTTGTTTGTTATTATGCACAAAGCTGCACAATGGATGTGCCATGTCAACACATGTGCCATCTCCAGTATCAAAACCAGATTATTAGTGTTATAAGCCTTCAGACTTACTGCTGAGCCATGAGCAGGTTGGGGGGGATAATTATGTTCATTATCACTACACTGTAGTAATCACATGTTCAATTTTTTTTATCTGAGGCACCATTTCAATCAATTAACATATTTACAAACAGCAGTAAATTTTGTCAAAAGATAATCCAGTAATAATTTATTCAACTTTTATGAATGAATAATGGGAAGCCATGAGTGTTGTTCTATGGTTGGTTGAAGTAGAACCAGTTTCTCAAAAAAATGCTTGGATTCATGCTACCAGTCAGTCACACTGCTGTGGGGAGAAGTGGAGATCCTAACGACATTGATTATTTACCATCAGTGAATCTACCGACTGTTTCATCTTAGATTCAGATACAAAAAACTTAAACTATTACAAATGTACAAACAGGCTATCAAATCTGGTACCCAAAATAAGAATAAAAAAAAAAAAGATGATTAAATCTGATAAACTTAATTATCCCATACACACAGGCTCCTAGTCAGCTCAAATCATGGTAGATTTGTCATGAAACACCTCTTCAACACTGACACGTGTATTTGAGCAAGACCATCATAAACACTGGATTTGTTAAACTTTTCCAAAGTATGGAAGTTCTGAAACATAGTATGAAAACAGCTCAGTTGATTTGAATATTCAGACATCATCATCATGTAAAACAACAAATTCAGCAACAGAGGTAACTGTTAGTACAGACAGTAATGGCACACAAGTTCATATGTTTAACAAAGGACTCTGCAAACCCTACTCAAATTAAGTCCAAACAAGAGAAATTAATACAAGCAAAGTTAAGACCCTTACAAAAGAAATGGATAATTTGTCACAGTGAACTTTTTGTGTGATGAATAGTAATGATAATACCTAGTTTTATACTGGACTCCCAAATGCTGTTACATTTAATGTTTTATTGGAGTAGCTTTGACATAAGGCAGAACAGCTGACCTAATAGCATGGAAATGAATAAAAAAAAAAAGATTATGTTGAAGTGCATGAACTTACTTGTCCTCAACTGAACTCTCATTTCTTATTATGTGAACTGAAAATAAAATCCATAACTGACAGCTGATTGATGTCAATTTCATGCTTACATGAAACTGGTGTACTGAGAGAGAAAACACAGCAATCCAATAGTGTGCAAGAAAAACACTCCTTCAGCTTACACTTTAACTGAAGACAGAAAAAAGTAGTAGTTCAAACTACTTTGTCTGAACTGGCCAAATATGGAAAATCATGGGACAAAAATCAGCGCTGCTACTCAGGAGTGGCATACACTTCTCATTCTCACTTTGTATTTGAAAAAGGGAGTTCTGAATAAGTATTCAACCCATTAACACCTATCATGTTCCCATAAGAGATATGGTTTGACAAATACTTCTTAAAATCCACAGGAAGGAAACTCAATTATCTCCTGAGATAAGTTGCAGAATGATAGAGTGAGAGAAAATGAAATGGCAAAAAAACACAACCTGAGGCCAAGCTTAAAAGATTGTTTGTTTGATGTTGCCTACTCCCCCACTCTGAATGGGTAGGTAAGTAGGCTATTTTTTTCCTTCAGGTTGCCAGCAGTAAGTATTGCCAAACAACTGGAAACTTTTTAATAAAAAAAAAGTAAAAAATGGTGCATTCTAAAAGGTTAAATGCAGAAAAAAATCGCTTGATTGCTATGAATATATTCTATATAAGAAAGACCCTGTTGCATTTTCTTAAAATTATACCAATATTTTCATTCAATTGAAAATTATAAGTTTATAGCAATATTAAATAAATACTTATTTAATGGTTGAGAAACTTAATACATATACTCTTGGTAGAAATAAGAATTAAATCCTATAATGGATTCTTTTCTACTCAAAGATCAGTATGTCAGATCAAATTATTTGTAGAACCACTGCAGTCTGCAGCATTGCTATTTATTTTGTTTTCAGTTTAAAAACATAGTACATTTAGATCAAATTATAAGAGTCAGCACTATGAATTTTATCATCTAATATTTAGATTCTTATTTCTACCCCTACATTCAATGTGGTATCATGTGCAAGCTTGATCATTTAATAAACATGAGGCATGCTACCCAGCTTGTAACATAGCTCCATGTTTAGCACCAATGTAATATAAATGTAGTTACTCTAGCTGTGGCTATGTTGGCCTTCTTAACAAGTAACTTAGTGTGTGGTATATTTGTAATCCTTCCTGCAGAACTTCTGGGAAACAGTGACACTTTTCTACTATGTACTTGCTGCTTGACACTATAGCTAGAATAGCTACACTCTAACATTGCATGTGTTGTGTATATCCTTAGCCAATAAACCATCTACAGCAAAACAGCAGATGGGTCCCTGGGCATTCCAAGTAGTGATACTTGGCTGTGAATGTGTGACAGTAGAGGTGGTGTGTACAAAAATGTATCAGCTTGAAGTGTCCACTATTGCACATGATGAAAAATACAAAATATTAATATGAAAATCTAAGAAAATACTTGATCTTTTTCATTTAGAAATTAAAGTTTCTGACCTGTAAATTTTGGGCCATTGGTGCTCTTTGCTTGTGCTATCTTATGCATGGGACATGTCCTATCAATATGTCAAATGCATTTGACAGGTTTGCTTGTGCAGCTTCAGACTGTACTGGTTCTTTGTGCTTGACTTTAAATGTAAAGTATTTTCAATTTGGATCAAAGTCTCTGACTATATAAATTGCACTGTGCAAATATGGGTGGTGAACATCAGCCCCATGACATCCATGATGAGATTATCAGCTGACCCTTTTCCTTCAGCTGCAATTTCATCATACAGATCCTTCTACGTAGAACTTAGATACACTTGCTTTATTCTGTTCTTGATTATGCAGAAATTTATAGTATCAGTGACACTGTAGTATAAAACTAGGCTACTTCCCTGGAAAGATGGCAATGCCATTACTCAGCATGCCAGGAAATGGCTCACATGGTTACGTTCATTGAGCATATCCTTTTGCACATTTACCAAAAGTGTATTGCTGATGCATGTAAACAATTGCATAAGTAGCTGATAAGTTTAGCAGAAAATATTTGTTGATTTATAAATACTTTAAAGATGATCCTAAGATGATAAATAGTGTTCAGAAAACTAAATATTTTGCATAACCAAAAGGCTACATGGAGAAATGACCAGGCTGGTAAAAGGGGGAGTCAAATTGCTAAAAACAATTTTCAAGCCATTTTTTGTGCATTGGTCACCAGCATCAAACAAACAAAATTTTGTTTTTAGTCTGATGAAAGAATTAAGAGATGGAATCAAATCCTTGATCTAAGACACATCTGTGAAGTTGCCTTTTAATGTCTTGAGATTGGTCGTATCATTTTGTACAAATATTATCTTCTGAACATTAAAGAAAAAGGAGGAACATCAACATCAGGACAATTCACTCATAGCAGGGGGAAAACCTGAGGTTTCACTAATGTGAGTCCAAATCTCAGGAACTGCCATGAAACTAAAACGAGGAATCACAAAAATTGCTTTAAATTCAAAACACTAAATTTGAAGTCAAATAACATTAATGGAAGAAACCTTTTAATTAGTTCAAAACACAAAAAAGATATACTGATACTTCAAAGTTCCTGTTTAACAGAAGCAGAAAGTATGCTTAATACAATAAAATTAAAAACTAGACCTGTGTATTTTAAAGGATTCAACTGATATAGGGATTTTGTCACAATAAAGATTCAGGTGGATTATGAAAAGGTAGTATTAGATTACATCATGACAATTAAACACTGATAGTATTTGTTATAAAACTTTCAAGTTTGGGAGCTACTGTAATACTTCTACTAAATTAAGGCAAACTTAGCCATGTACTACATAAGATTTTTGTAAAATGAAAAGTGTTATATCCCCAATCAACATGTATATTTTCCATAATTTAAGTTTGCATGGTCTTTATAGAACAAAATCACTCAGAAGGATATATATATACAAATACACTGATAGCTGAAAGAACTAAAGAGACAACTTTAGCATTATTATAAAATAACTGCATTACTTGTAATGAATCTAACCCATTGTCAACAATAGCAAAAAAAAAATAAAAGTAACATGTTGAATAAAGAATACCGTGTGAAAATAGTGTCACCTTAATCTAAATTCAACAAGTTTCTTTACATTTCTGAAAAACTGAGCTGAAAAATTAACATGTTCTGAGATTGTATTATTGTTGAGCAGTGAGATATTTAACAGAAAACGTCTGACCTCAAGAATCCATCACTTTAGAAATTTAATTTATAACATCAATGTGTTTAAATATGACACTAAAGTAAAGATTATTCAGATTAGATTTCTAGGAAAATCTCTAACATTTTATCTCTTAAATAAAGGCATGGGTGTACATCAATGATTCATTCAGATTATTTACACCCACAGTAAACATAATTCAAAATATTCATTATTCAGTTCACAATAACAAATTGAAGTCTCACCTGGTTGAGGACCCCAAGTCCACCTGTCAATGACTGATTTTGAACTCTGATCTTTCTCTCTCTTATCGTAACAATTATAATCATCTTTTTCCATCTGGTGACAGATATGACTGGCTAAACCTTCATTAGTGTCACTACAGTTGCACGAGTTAGACTTTGACATCCCATCTACAGGTTGAATAAATCAAATTTGTCAAATTTAAATATTCAAGTAACCATGTTTTTTTATCAACTTCCTAAGAGCCAGTACTTATAAGTCAAACAAATATGATACTGATTTGCTATGCAGTGTTGCAAGACTATTAAATCTCAGTTTACAGCAGACTTTGTTTCAATGAGTTTGCAAGAAAATAAAATTACATTCTTAGGTTTTAAAAATAGAAGTTCTAATTCTTTAGGTCACTCATAGCTTCATCTAGAGAAGTAGTACACCCATTTTCTGATTCAGAGTAGGTTATTTAACATTTAGTGCAATAGATTTCAACAGGCATAGTTAAAACACTTCCAGTCTCTTAATATGATACTGAAGAAAAAGGGATGAGGTTAGTGCTCTTAAGATCAGTGTTCACTGTTATGACTGCAGAGCCTTCTAGAGATAAGCCCAATAAATCATTTTTTTTAAATATCAGGTGTGTACCTGAACTCAGACACCACTAGCAACCTATTAAGATGATTCATTTTATCTTAGAAATTCAAAAACTGTTTGACCTCATCACTATTTTAACATTCTCTTGTCGGTAAAGGGTTATAAACTGTTCAGCATAACAAAAGTGATTGACTGAATTTTTATTGTGTGTAAAACTGGCCATGTGTTACTTCAATGTCAAGCTACTATTTTCTCATACATAAAGTACACTTCCTATCCCATTTACCAAGACATAATGACATTCCCCCACAAAATTTTTAACAAATAGTAAGATACATAAAATCTATACTACTAAAACAATAACAACACAGACACACAATACATACATACATATATATCCCAAAGTCAAAGGCTAATTTAATTATAATAAATGTTTAAGAAACACCTTGAATTCAAACAATTTCAAATAATAAATACATGATTTGAGTAATTAACTAGCACTTTACTAGCATTAGCTAATGGGATAACCTTTTAGCTCAGTTGGTAGAGTGCTTGCTGAACATACAAGAGGCTCCAGGTTACACCTAGAACATGAGTATTTTAAATACCAGAACAGCAAAAAAAAAACAGGCTGAAGAAATTACTTTCCTGATCACTAAAACTATTTTCAAAGATATACTGAACTTTAACTGAAACTTAGCATTAGACTATTCTCAAACAGACTACCTGTTACAACTTAATCAAAACTACCAAAAAAAAGCAAAAAAAAAACATGCAGAAAAGGTAAAATGACTACAAATTAAAAAACAGATGTATGATAAAACTTGAAGAAAAATGAGAAGATAGTTTTTGATACAAAAAATATTTTTCAATGATAAAAATGTACAAGAATGGAGCCCAATGTAGAAAAGGTGATATACTCGAGCATATGTCATACAGACAAGAAGCAAATTCAGTGTCTAGGCTTTATTCAATAGGATAGTCAGTATCAGTGCATGGATTTTGCAAGGATGGGAAAAAAAGGCATTTAACTTTGTATATTTAAGCTCAGCACTTCTGTAATAGTAAAATGTTGCCTTTTTCTGAACTGGTTTCCTATGTATTAATCCTTTAATCATTATATACTGTGGTATTTGAAAAATTACCTCTATGAATTGACAAATTTTACATTATCTGCATGTCTTTAAGTCAAATTTTTACACATTGTTCAGTTTTAATAGTGTAGAGAAAATGTGCAAAGCACGATACAGAACTGTTAGAATAATAAAATTATTAGTAATATGACCTTAATTTTTCACCATCTGTAAAATGTTGTGACAAGCCTTTCACTTATTAATTTATCTTGGTCTTTAGTTTCAGAGTAATCTATATTCTTATAGACATTTGAAGATTAAATAATGTTAATGGTATGAATTTATTCATTCATACTTTTGGCAGACAAACTGGTTGAATGAATTCAATTTGTTTCTCTTCACCAAATTTTGTGAACTGTGGTGAATAAGGGAAAACAAAATCACAAAATTTCTAAATTATTACAAATTGGATGAGACTAGTTTGAAATAAAGTTACATAAGTTACTGGAAAAAGTACTGTGAATAGCTCATAAAAAGAAAGACTGATATAGTCTAACCATCTGAGTACCTTGTTTTGGGATCTTCCAACCAACTTCCATACCATCTTCAACAAAGAGCAATTCTCCATCCTTCACCATTTCATTCCATAGGTCTGGCAGACTGTCTTTTTTAAAAGCAGCCTGTACAAGAATAAAAAATAAAAATATTTAAGATAGCACAAAAATCATGCCATAAGGAAACAAAATCTAAGTTACTCTTTTGATTTGTGTAAATAACTGAAACTGTAAATGCAGCTTAAATACCAAAATTACAAACTACAGTTGAAAACACTTTGTATAATCTTTGATAGGTTGTTTAGGCAGAGTATTCATAATGAATCTAAGTTTCAAATGGACAGCAACTGCCTGTTGTAGAAACCTACAGGCGGAAGACTTTCGAAACGTTGTCCTCTATATTTTTAGTT